CTTGATCTTTAGAAATCAAAGCACTTATCATTTGGAGGTAGACCTAATTAAATCATTCTTATCTAACTTACCTATCTATCAAATGACTATATTTATAATGTCAAGCTCATTATAGTTAAAACCATTGAAAAGTTAATGAGGAATTTCCTATGGGGGTCGGGGGATTTCGGAAGGAAGTATAATTTGGTTAGTTGGGATAGGGTATGTACTCTTGCCTTGGAAGGAGGTTTGAAGATGAGGAGATTGAAATATATGAATTGGGAACCAGTGGTAAAATGGTGATGGAGTTCATTAGCTGGGGAAGATATGTGGATAGGGGGAAGAGGTCCAAGATACCAATCATTTGTTTAAAAAGGGATTTTGCAAAATAAGCTTTTTATGAAGCAATATATAAGATGGGTGGTTGGTGAGGGAACTAAAGTTCCTTTCTCGCATGCGGGAACTAAAGTTTCTTTCTCGCATGATAGATGGTTGGGAGATGCTCCTCTGAAATTGTCGTTTCCTTTTCAATGCAGCAGGAATCCTTTGGAAAAGAGAGTGATGAGAATAGCAATCATCTATTATTTCATTGTGCTTTTTCTCATGGAATATGCTGCTGGTTCTTCCATATGCACCTAATTGATCAATTGTGTTATATGATTATTTGCCGAAAGTTGGGAGCCTTTTATTCTAAAATGGGAGGGCGGTAGTGCTACAGGAGATTTGGCTGGAAATAAATAGGCGTATGTTTGAAGTAGTATCATTGGAGGTGAAATATTGAGATGAAAGATTAAAAAGATGATATGGAGATGGTTTTCAGTGACAAACAAAGGGTTTGGCATCTCTGAGGTGGATATTGAGGTTAATATTCTAAACAACTATCAAAATACGACCAAAAGGTCGGTGGGAAGCTCCGACGGTACGAAGTGTGAAATTGAATATTGATGGCAGTTCATATGGGAACGGCTGGCTGGAATTGGAAGGTTGCTAGAGATTCAAAGGGAGCTATCATCTTTTGCTTTGCGGGGTCATGTGGTAAATTACCGCAAATGAGGCTGAATTATTAGCACTTCTCTATGGATTGAAAATTTTGAAGAGCAAGAATATTCAGTATCCTTGTACTGTTGAAGGCAACTCTTTGAATGTGATTAGTTAGTTAGTGTTCTAAGATTTGGAGGCCTCCCTGGAGATTGAGATCAATTTGGATAGAAGTTATGGAACTTGGAGCTTATCTACGTCTTTCTTTTAGGCATGTGCTTCACGAGGCTAATGATGTACTTGTTCTCTCTTATTTTGCATTTGTTTAGCTTCTTGTAACCACCTTTGATTAATAAAAAATTGAATGATTTCAGAAAAAAAAAAGAAAATAAAATGGATGAAGTTTGAGGTTTGTATAAGCCCTAAGCTTTAAGAAAACAAAACCTCAAATCCTCATCCGGAAAGCACTTGATATCTCTAAATTAATTTCCAACACATACAATAAATGAAACTAAAAAATGTACAAATCTTGCGGATTTATGAACATTTATTTTTTGGGCGAAATGGACGATCGAGATAATTTATTACAGTGTATACTACTTTTAAAGCTTGAAATCCTAATTTTTAAAGTATAATATTCAAGCCGAGATGATCGATGTAAAGGTTTCCCAATACTTGCATTGTAATTTTTGATGAGTTATGAAATGAGGTTTTATTTATTTTGATAGGGCTACAGCCCTATCAAACCATTTTTCATAATAAAAAAATATTATATTTTAATACTAGTATAATGCGATATTAATATATTAAGATGATAATGTTATATTATAATAAAGTTATTAAATACTAGTATAATGCGATATTAATATATTAAGATGATAATGTTATATTATAATAAACTTATTAAATACTAGTATAATGCGATATTAATATATTAAGATGATAATGCTATATTATAATAAAGTTATAAATGAATTATGAGTAATGATCCTATGAGACCCTCCCACACCCATGTGTTTAAGACCCCAAAAGGATCACCATTAAATTTGGCTCAAATCTCTAAAAAAATCAAGTCTCACACCCATGTGATAACTTTTCTAGAGATCTGTGTCAAATTTAATGATGATCCATTGGGGTCCTACACACATGGGTGTGGGAGGGTCTCAGAGTAATGATCCTATGAGACCCTCCCACACCTATTTGTATAAGACCTCAAAGGATCACCATTAAATTTGACATAGATCTCTAGAAAAGTCAAGTCCCACACCCATGTGATAACTTTTCTAGAGATATGTGCTAAATTTAATGTTGATCCGTTGAGGTCCTACAC